AAATAAATGCTGAACTGGATCACAATAAATCCCTTGTAAAAAGGGATGAGTTGGACAAGATTATATGCTTAATGACATAATGACATTTATGAATGACCGCTAAAGAATATTGATCCTGCAGTGTACAAGTGGTGCTGATAAAGATGACAATGATAATGCAACATTGTATCTCTTAGTATCTGTTTATCTACAGATAAAGTCATTCAGATTGTGCATCTAAATTTTTTGTCAAAACGTATTGTCTCGATAAGGCTGAAAAACTAAAGAATCTTCACTGGCCAGAGAAAATTGATGGGTGGCACTTGTGGTGAGTTAGATGTTAGTAAAAACATTAGCTAAAATAAATTTTAGTAGCTGAGAATAAATATAATATTCTGAACACCATTAATGATTAATTTGTGAATATAAATAATATATATACTCTAGCTTGCAGTGGTATCTTAAAATTAAAAAAGGCACACAACAGTTTTCTACTTTCTTCATAAACATTTCCTGCATCGAATTCTTGAGCTATTCATCTAAAGTGTTTTTTTTCAAAGATTTTACATTATCCCTGAATGAATCTTTAGACCAACAATCTCCAGAGTGTAAGGGGATTTAAAGATACCCTTAAAGAGAAATCGTAATTGAGGTTTTTACTTGTTCGCTTTTAAATGGTAATCCACTATGTAGATGTTTAGAACTAAATTTTTGTCTTCTTAGTGTTTGATATAATCATAGTTTTTTATAATAATTTGGCTTCACCAAAGTTGTGCTTTCTCATGTAGCCTGTTAGCAATTGTTTATGCTCACTAATGACACTATGCAGGGCTAATATTCTAATATATATATATAATATATCCTAATATTCAAAAACCAATGGGCAGGTGAAAGTCAAAACTGGGCTGGGACAATTAAATCAAGATAACAAATCCAAATCGCAAAGGAAGAAACATGGTCAGAAACTAGTTAGAGTCCACAAAGAAATGAAGAGATCAAACTGTTAGAAGAAGGGTATGCGCACTAGGGAACTCCAAAGGGAATTTGAATTAGTGAGCAACGGTAAGGAAAAAGAGGAGGGTTAAAGTAGTAACAGGAGCGAAAGGTAATAGGAAGATTAGTTGCGGTATGAGCGTCTGTTTAAGTGGGTGTACATGGGAATGTGTTTGTCAGGTGTTTGTGGAATGCGTGGTAGTGTGAGTGCGTGTGAAATACGTAATAGTTCCCCCCCCCCCAAAGGAGGACACCCTTATAGGAGGATCTGGACGGGTACTAGGAAGTCATTGATAAGACTTCAGTCCAGTATGTTGCCCTCCGGAACCCAGGACTGTTCTTCTGGACCAGAACCTCTGTGCCAACAGGCATCCAAGGTGTTGTTGACCTTGAAGTAGTTGATCCACAAGCAAGTCGGGTAGAAGGTGGATGAGGTTCTGGTTTAGAAAGAGAGGTTCTGTTTTAAGTTTTCAAAAGGGAAACATGGAAAGTAGGATGAATCTTAACGGAGGGGGGAAGTGTGAGATGGTAGGAGACAGGCTTGATTGGGATAAGAATCCGGAAGGGCCCTATGAAACAAGCACCCAGCTTGTGGGACGGTTGTCGGAGGGGAATGTTCATGGTGGATAACCAAACAAATTGTCCTCATCTTCACCTGGGGAATGGTTGTCGGCATTTATTAGTGGAGGTCAGTTGTCTGCAAGCAGTTCCTAATAGTGCGGTTCTAGCTGTTGGACAAAGTAAAAATAAGGTCTTGATTGCAAGGACGTTGGTTTCAGGAATGGTGTCAGTGAAAAGTGAAGGTTGATAACCGAGTGAACAAAGAAAGGAAGACATCTTGGTGGAAGAAGTGTAGAGGGAGTTATGAGCGTACTCAGCCCATGGAAGAAGGGAGACCCAGTTGTCTTCGGTTGTGGAGACATACGCTCTCAGGAAGGTTAACAGATCCTGGTTTATCCTCTCTGCTTGGCCATTAGCTTCTGGGTTTCCAGAGGTAAGGGAGGAAGATGCCCCCAAAACCTTGCAGAACGCCTTCCAGAATTGGAAATAAATTGAGGTCCCCTGTCAGAAACTACGCTCTTCAGGATGCCATGCAATTGGAATACATCAGGTACAGACAGGTCAGCCATTTACCGGGTGGATGGAAGAGAATGAAGAGGGATAAAATGTGCAACCTTCGAAAATTAGTCAAGTACCATCATGACAGTAGTCTTATCCTCACTCTTAGGGAGATCCATTAGAACGTCAACTGAAAAATGGGACCAAGGACGTAGGAAATGGAAGGGGCTGTAAAAGACCCACCTTTTTCTGCTGGGACGTCTTGACTCTGGAGCAAGTGGTGCAGGCCCAGACATATTCCGTCATATCAGTCCTCAGGGAAGGCCACCAGAAATCCCTGGAGATTAGGTCAATGGACCATTTAGTGCCCAGATGACCCGCAAATACAGAATCATGACCTCATTGAAGAACTGCAGATTGGAGGCAGTTGGGGATGAACAATCGGCCCCAGGGGCATTAGGGGGGGTACTGTGTGATCCTGAAAAGCACGTCTCATCTGGTCATCGATGTCCCAACTTATGGCTGCGAGAATCTTGGTAGGTGATGAAGAAAGATGTGAAGACGGGGGTTTGAATTTAATCCTTTCTGTAGGGGGTTTAGGCTTCTAAGTCACAAGCTGGGGTTTATGGCAGGAAAGGGGGTTAACTGATAAGGATTGCAGATGCAAGCTAGGAACCCCCCTGGAAGTAATGTTAAACTGACCATTTGCCCAGAACATCGTAAACTGGCCAAATACCACGAACCCCCCTCTTTACCATCAGACCGAGTGACGTCAGAAACGGAGAAGAAAACACTATATAACCCAAAAGTTTGTAACAGTACGTTGAACAATACTTCAGTTTTGTTGTTTCTTGCGGGAAACAAGACTTCGGCTTTATTGTTCCTTGCATGCAATAAACTCATCTGTTTTACTTCATCTCGGGATCAAGAACCTTATTTCTTCTGTTACAACAGTGAAATGATGGGTTCAGGTGAAATGTGGGTGTAGGGAGGATCATGTAAGCGGGAAAGGGCGTCGGCTTTGACATTCTTGGGACCTAGGGTGTAAGTGATGAAAAAATCGAATCTGGAGAAGAACAAAGCCCATCTTGCCTGGTGAGATATTACAAATAGGCCAAGTTCTTATGGTCCGTGAGTATGGTGATGGGGATGTCGAGCCCCCTCTAGCCAGTGTCTCCATTCTTCCAGGGCGAGCTTGATGGCTAGTAGCTCCCTGTTCCCGACGTCATAATTAATCTCCGCCGGGGACAGTTTCCTTGAAAAGAAGGCACATGGGTGGAGGACGCTCTTCTTTCCATGGCGCTCAGATAAGACGGGGCCGACTCCATGGGCTGAAACATCGACCTCAAACACAAAGGGGAGTGTAGGGTCTGGATGGAGGAGGATTTGTGCTGTGGAGAAGTGCTGCTTGAGTCGATTAAACGCCTTGTCAGCTTCGGGAGTCCACTTGCCTTATAGGGAACCTTTACGGGTCAAAGAGGTAATTGGTGCCACAATAGAACTAAAATTCCTGATAAAATGTTGGTAAAAATTAGAAAAACCCAGGAAACGCTGTACCTGTTTCAAGTTCTTGGGGGTGGTCCAGTCTCTGATGGCCTTAACCTTATCTGGATCCATCTGAATACCCAGAGATGAGATTATGTACCCCAAAAAATGAATACTGGAAGCATGAAAAGAGCACTTCTCCAATTTTGCATAGAGTTTGTTTTGAATCAGTCGGGTCAAGACTTTACGGACATGAGAAACATGTTCTTGTAAATTGTGGGAACAAATTAAGATGTCATCCAGGTAAATGAAAATGTAATTTCGAATGATATCCCTAAAAATGTAATTCCTAAAGTTTTGGAAAACTGCAGGAGTATTGCAGGAAGTATTGAGTGTTGCAGGAAGGCCTTATAGAAAAGGTTACAAAAAAATGCAAGTTCTAATATTCAAAAACCAATGGGCACGCGAAAGTCAAAACTAGGGTGGGACAATTCAATCGAGACAACAAATCCAAATCGCAAAGGCAGAAACGTGGTCAGAAACTAGCAAGAGTCCAGGAACCAACAAAGAGATCAAACTGTTTGAAGAAGGGTACGCATACTAGGGAGCTCCAAAAAGAATCCAAATTAGTGAAAGACGATAAGGAAAAAGAGGAGAATTAAAGTAATGATGGGAGTGAAAGGTGATAGGAAATTTAGTTGTGGCGTGAGCGTCTGTTTAAGTGGGTGTGCGTGGCAATGTGAATGTGTTTGTCAGAGCGTTTGGAATGCGTGACAGTGTGAGTGCGTGAAGAATGCGTAACAGTGTCTATTTCAGCTTAACCTTTCTGATGTAACACTGGATGGAGTGTATCGTCCCTTGGTTGCAATGTCTCATCGCAGTGAGGGTAACTGGGAGTGGAGTGCACTTATTTATTTGCACTCCCAAATGTGGGAAGAAGCACAAACCAACAGCTCTCTATGCTGTAAAGCCAGCTATACAGCTTTGGAGTAGCAGTTTACAACCATGTTTATTTTCTTTATCATGCCATATTGAGGTGCAATGTAAAATTAATTGTCAACTGCTAGGCCAGCTAGAATGATGAATTTTAATAAAAAATATGTTTTAGTTTAACATCTGACAAGTCCCTAATACTCTCACAGGCACTGATTAGTTGAAGAACTCCACTGGGTGTAAAATCCACTGGGTGTTTCCTGGTGGAATGTATGTCACTAGTCTCTATGCTACTCTTTGCTTTGTATTTGGTGACATTCTGCAGTTTTCACCCGCATTTGTTTTTCCAAATGACTTAACCTGCAGGGAAAACACAATGTTTACTACTTTTCTCATGCTCTATCGATTTTAAGATAACAAATCAACTATTACTAATTTTAGCTTAAATGCTGTATGATAAGAACTGGTTCCATAGTAATACTATCATTAGCAGCACACTTAGCTAGTTATATTAAAGCCGCATTCCCAGTAAAGAAAGAATTTGTTCTTACACTCAATGTCCAGGTACATGCTCTTCTGGTGTCCTCCAATCCTACTCAGTGCCTCACAGTCAAAGCGCCCCCAGTCTGACAGCTTCACTACAGAAATAGTCAGAGTGGACTTGCCCTTGCGCCCATGTGCCTCAATCCGTCCATCCGGGCTCTATAAACACAAAATCAAAGAATCATATATTTCCATCTCAAATATTGCTTACTGATGTGTAAGCATTGGCAGTGCAGTTCTTTGCACAAAAATAATAATCTTTAAAATCCAGTTGTCCCTTAGGTGACTGGGAAAACAAACGCTCATTTTGATGTAAGAACTGAGCTGTTTTACTCACCTGGTTCAAAACATCCTACTGAAGACTGTCCACTCTGAGTAAATGTAGAACGTTGAACAAATTAAAGTACAGGATACATATGACAGTCTTAGCTATCTTCAACACAATCAGGAGTTACTATAAATGTATAAGCACCTATAATTTACTCAAAACCACCACTACATATGTAGTATTGGAGTAAAAACTGTGCTTTCTACAATCATAATGTTTGTTATTACCAAAGCATAGTTTGAAGATTTCCTAACCTAAGTTAAGAAGAAATCTACACGAATAGAAGATTGCCAAATATTTTAAAAATATATACTGCAGTAAACATATAGGGAACTAAAATCTATAAAACATTATATACTACAAAACGGTCTTCTTCTTCTAAGTAGTAGTAGTAGTAGTAGTAGTAGTAGTAGTAGTAGTAGTAGTAGTAGTAGTAGTAGTAGTACATTATGCATCAAACAGGTAGGCACAAAAGGAACATCATTTGGTGTCCTGGTAACTGAACATGCATCCTGTATTTTAAAAATGCCAACAAGGTCCAATGGCCAATAACCCTAAAATTTAATTGCATTTTAATCCTAAGAAAACTGCATTTGAAATTTAATGTTCAAACAATCAGGCTCATAAGGCACATAGAACAATTAAGACAATAAGTCTCTGGAATAACCAGCAGACACACTTTCATGTTTTGAAATCAATATTTTTCTATTATAAACCAAGTATTCCAAACTCAGATTAGAAGTTCTGGTAAAATCAATCTTGCATCTTAGAGTGTATGGGTTATTTGTAATGTTTGTAAGGACTTGTTTGTCTGTTCTACGTAATTCAGATTTTATGGCACATTGTTCTTTCTCTGTTACCAAGAAATGTCAAACTTGTGGGCTATTATCCCTCTCAGCATTCTAAGCAGATTAATTTTCAATATATAAACTGTACTGACATGACGTTGCTACCTCTCGCTGTAGCATCTGTCATCTCCTGTGGGATTAATACATCACAGGGTTTACCTACTAGTACTTTAGATAGTAACATATACTGTAAGTACTTTTTTCAGGTTTGTGCAACTGTTTACAATTATTCCTTGTTGCATAATACTGTATACATAATACTGTTGTAAAAAATACTGTAAAGTAACTGTTTTTATTAAGTAAATGGAAAATACATTTTTAAAAAAGGAAACAAGGAAGAAAGTGGTTATTGCAAAAAGATTGAATTTGGTTTAACATTGAAGCGGTGATTGTTTTCTTATAAACTTATATTGCCTATAACCCACCCCGATTCTTCCTCACCCACTTATGTAATGCTGGCTTCCATCATTTTCAGACATCACCAGACTACTTTGTGAGTGTGGATAATTGCAATCCCAGAAAGCCACAGTGAAGTTTTTATAAAGGATTTATGTATCTGGCCATGCATGCATTAATGAATTTGCAACACATCTACAATCAGACAGTAGCAAACTGGTGAAACTGCGTTGTTTCCTTTCTAGAAGGCAATACATTAAATAAAGCATCTGTTCTGAAGGTGTTTCGGTTCCTGTGAGAATGTGTACTATAATAAAAAAAAACATGCAAACAGTGAGGCCTGAAATGGAAATTCAGCTGCTTGTTATTCTGACAGTATCTCAGGCAGTGGAAAACTACTGTTAACAGTAAACCAACAAGAATCGTGTTCTAACTATAATATAATGAAATTGTATTCACTCCTAAGGCTGGTCAAATGCATTCAAATTAAAATATATTTCCCAATTTCACACATTCTCCTTCAGTTCCATTACTTAATGCTGTTTTTTATGAATGACAGATGGCTCCTAATGACAAATTAAATTTTGTTTTGGGGTTCCTTTAAAGTGGAACCATTTAATAAAACTTCAACTCATTCCAGGCCTACTGTTACTGCCAGACTTAGATGCCTATGTTTTAAAATCCTCATTTATAAAACATGTAACAGAGCAGGGATCATGACTAGAATGAGGAATATTCCAAAAACCATTAAAACTGTGAAGGTACATCCTGTGAGAAACATTCTTTTGAAAAGACAAAATCATTTTATTTTAACATTTGCATGTTTTGATATTACTTAAAAGTAATTTTACCAAAGGAAAAATATCAAAGTAATCTTTTATACCAAGGGTCGTCTTAATTCTCCAGAACTGACAACATTTATATGTTTATTAATTAATAATACATGTGATCTTCCATCAATGTAAACCCTAACAAAGGTGAACAGCTGAAAAAATACACTTCTTGGCTTAGCTCTGAAATCATTCCAGTGACCTTTACTTTGAAACCTGAATTTAACCGAATAAAATGCTAATGTATCTAAATGCTTAATTTGTTATGAAGGCAAATAGTTCAGGATTATGGTCTCTAATACATTTTGCACCAGTGTGGCATGTAGGTCTCTGTTTAGTGCTTAGGACAAGACTGCTGCAACAGCCTGAAATCTTTAGCAAAGCAGTTTCGATTATGGTTCTCCACACTTCTATGCACTATACAGATCCAGCCATTCAAAATGCTTGAAGTACACTACGTTAAAACGCGGTAGGCATTGCACATTATACCACATTATACCGCATTTTAGTTGAATTATGATAATAGTATCCGGAAGCACCTTGTAAAACCGCCAGGTGAAGCTAATAAAGCTTAACATCTCATGTACAGCATTTGAGCTGTTGCTAGAAATCGCCCGGTTTCGAATCCTGGTCACTGCAGAGGGACAATCTTTTTCCAATTAAGAATTTAAGTTTTATATTCTTTAGACTTTTAATAATTTTAAACTGTGTATTAAAGCAGGTTTATCATTAAACATTAAAAAGTCGGTATATTTTATAAAAGCAAGATTGCTCAGTTGGACAAAAGTACACAACCTTGGTAATATAGTGGGTTGTGGTTTTAACATGTTTGTTCTAACATTATTAAGCTTATATTGTGTACATCAAAAAAAAGTTAGAACGTTTTATCATAGTAAGAACACCACTTGCTGTAATTGTAAAAATATAAATGTTCCAGCGATTTTACTTATTACATATATGACTATGGAATCGTGTAACTAAGCAGCTAAAATATCACAGGTGGACATTTTGGAAACATTTTGTTTTAAAAAAAATATTGTCCGTGTAGTGGTAATGGACAAAGCACTGCACCCAATGGTTCAAAGTGAGATCAGAGTATTGCTTTCGGTTTGTTTCTTATGTAGTGAATACATAAAAATAGTCCACTTTTATAGCTTGTTGTTGGCTCTGGTATGAATTTGTGTATCTGGATAAATTAAGTGATGGTATTGTGATTAAGGATTTCTTTGCAAAATTCTTTAAGTTAAAAAAAAGGAGGGAAGAAGGGTTATTTTTACAATTGGTACAATAAAGAAATCATGCAATACTTATATGTATTGGAAGGCGCTCTGTTTTATTAACAGACACTCTGACTCAAACCTGTGATGTACAGTGATATACAGTAGATGTGGGTAATGTTAATCCCATTAAACAGTGTGCTTGTTGTGCACATCCTGCTAAACTAGAAATTAGACACAAGAAGAGTATTATTGGACAATGTTGTGTGGCTCTGATGGAATTTCTCTGTAAACTGAAGAGTTATAGAGGATACATGTTGTGTATCGCCTCTTTTTACACTGTACGAACATTCCAATGTTAATGCAACACGGACGATATTATTAATAACCTTTTAAATCTGAAGCTGTCAACTCGACTTCACACCTGCATGTCAAGATCACAGTTTTTAAAATTAAAAAAAAACATCAAACCTTTGATTGGATGATTGTTTCGCAAGAATGTGAAACGTGACAATTTGTTACAGTTACCATTAGGAGAAAAAAAAGGTTATTTTTATTTATTTGTGGCTGCTGCAGTGGCTTGCAATGGCTAGATAGTTAACACTTCCCAATTGCTTTGTCAGTCTGTCCGTGGGGGTTAGAGGGGAAAGGGGGAAAGAGAACGAGGGTGCTCTCTTTGACAACTGACACCCCTCCATACGCTTAAATGAAAAATGAATAAAAACCCCAATGTAAATGTCATATTTACAATTTGTTTAAAATAAAATTTAAAGTTCTCTAAAGCTTTCTCAGTGAAGTACGAAAATTCACTTAGGGAGCAGTATAAGTATGCTTAGGCAGCAAAAGATCAGCTGAACAGGAAAGAAAACACTTTCAGAGAAAACAATGTTTCAGGTGTGAAGAATACATATCCCCAATTAAATTGCAGCCTAAATGTTTCCCCACACACCCTGCTCCCGCTGCGATTGAAATATACACAAAGCACTGAAAGCTGATCAGGTGCTTCACAGATGTAGGGATAGTACATAATTCTGGCTTTATGAACTCACACCTGGGATTCGATTAATTCAAAATAAGTTTTTTTAAAATACTGCACCTTTGCAAATGCGCTCACACTGTAGGATATGCACTCAACGTGCCACAGGTGTCACATTTACTGTACATGTCAAACCAGTTGATTTCTGTAGCAGATTGTGATTTATTTTTTTCCATAGCCTCTGCTTTGTCATTTATACAGTATGCCTATTCCAAAGATATTTTTGTTTACAAAGAAAGTGTACTACTGTAATAATTTGAGCTATATTAATATAATTATATTGTTTTTAATTTCTTTAGATATGGGATTCCATATTATATTCCCTATTAATCAAATTCTAAAAAGTGTGTTTTTTACTGCGATAACAAGCGCAAATATTCATAGAAAATGTTAAAACATTTTAACTTTTTATGAAGTATATAAATTTAATCTAGTCATGTAAAAATAAAACGTAAAAACTTTTCCAAAATAACTACGATGTGTAATCGAATGAAAGACTTTGATGCTTAAAATGTTTTGGAACAAAGTGGAATACTGGTGTGTATTTTTTATTTAAACTACCAATACCAGGCATATACAGTTTACATAATGTTTATGTTCCTAAATTAATATTGTTTATGACCTTTAGATGTGTTATGCTCCTCTTCTTTGTGGCCAGGCAATCACGTGCTGCTGTACAATGCAGTGAACTGTGGATAATTTTGCATGGTACAGGGTTGTACCACGCATTTTGAATGGATGCATCTGTATGTCTACAAATATCATCACCATAACATATACCACACCACTTACTGTAAATATATATAATAGCGTTATAGAATGAACACCCTGCACCCTGAGGTATCAAAATGAATATTATTATTTTTTTGTCTAAACACAAAACTACAAGAAATGGAACTTTCTTTTTACTTCGGATTCTAAGGTTTTGTGCATATTATGTAAAGTCAAAGGCAACAGCTACGGATCACTATTTTACCATTATTAGGATTTTTCCATGTTAAGAAGCTTACATTGACCATTAACACAGGTAGAGTTATGCATGTTTATATGATAGAATAAACTTCAGGATTAGAGTGGACATTAACAGTCACAATGAATTATGGATATGAAAATTAAATATATGTAAGAGTGTTCATTGTGTTCATTGCAAGATGCGACACAATACAAGATAAATTATAATACCAGTAAGAAAAAGTAGTCATAATGCACACCAAAAAAATAGAAAAGCTAAAAGACAAACACTCCTGCACACACATACACAACATATTCTGTGCTATTACCATGTGACAGGTACAGGTGAGAAGGAAATTTTGTTGTGCGAGAAAGGTGTCAGGATACTAGAGACAACTGTCCCCAGCTGCTGTCCCTTTCATTAACACAGATCCATCATTCTCTTTGAGGTGAACAATTTTAATGATACACCAAGGGAATTGTGCTCAAAAACACTTAACAGAATGTGCTAATTTGGATTTCTCAATATTTTTTCAAAGTGACAATGTTTAAAATTGGATTTAGATTTAGGAATTATGTGTCTGCGACATTTTAATATAAAATTTGCAACATGCCGAACATTATCTCATAGATTCAGAATGTGAATAATGTTGTTATACATTGAATTGTACTGTAGATATCAACCAATGGAAAATGTTATATTTGAACCAGGCTTCAAACTGTTTTCTCAATATTTTGCAATATATATGTTTATCTCTGACATACACAACAAAATACAATACATATACAGATGCAGCCATTCAAAGTGTGCGGCACAAACCCGTACCATGGGCATCTACGCATTCGCCACCGTGCCCTACCGCGGTACGTGATTGGCTGGCCAAAATGACCGACAGGGGCACTCGTGGTGTGTTGGTCGGTCGTGGAAAGATTAAATCACGTCTTTACTGTGCAAGTTTTAATTCTCTTAGTATTGAATATTTATATGGAATTTTACAACTAAAGGGAAATTTTAGTAGCTGAGCATAAAAAGAAGAGGAGCATAATGCATCTGAAGGTCATAAACGATATTAATTTAGGAATATAAACATATTACTTTCCCCTGTGAACTCTGAAATTGAAATGACTCTGAATGGATAGGTGAACAAGGATAATTAATTTAGTAAAACTAATAAAATCATGAATTAATTTTCTATCACACTTTCTATATATATTTCAATGACATATTAAACTTTTTTTTATTTGACAAATCTCTTAAGCACAAAACCAACATCACAAAAGACATTGATCAGTTTTATAGCAAACAAAGATTGTTATTAGTAACCTCACAGTTTTCTGTGCATTTGTTTTTCAAGCATCATTAATGAATATGCCATTCAGTAAAGAAATCTCTCCACATCACATATGTTTCTCTTTGACTATTTCAGAATTCCTTCTCAGCAACAGACAGAAGCCTTCCCGATTAGTATTTACACCATCATGTGTAAGAGGAATAAAGGAAAGCATACTTAGCCAAATTCAGGGAACATTCATTTACTATGACAACTTTTATAAAAGCCTTTTATTTACTTGCAGAAAATATCACATACTGTAAGAAGATTAAGCAACACTGAGTTGCTATGTAATTTAGTTGATTATGGCTATATTCTCCATAAATATTTAATAGAATGGACAAGCTTATGTAATTTAAAAACATAGAATATCAATACTATAAAAGCTCTGTGTATGATTAGTTTTGTTTTGTATTTTGCTTTCACTTCTTGGTGGCATTTCATTTTCCTATTATATTTCATCCTGATGTTAACATTTAAAGGAGACTATGATAGAAATAAAATGTAAGCAAGGGCTTTTATTTTTTTGTAAATGGGTGATTGTGATCTTAAGGATCGAAGCATGCCACAAATTCTAAAAACAATGTAAAAAATGTAGGGCCAGTTTATTTGTTTGTTTTGTTTTTCAAAACTCTATTAGTACCTAATGCTTAACAATGTAACAATTATTTTGTTTATTCATTATGCTGAGTAACCTTATTTGCATTTAACATGGAGTTTAAGAGAAAAGATACAAATATCATGCAAAAAAATGTCCAAAGCTGTGTACCTTGTCTCCATCTGTAAAGCTGTAGCCATCACTGGCCCTTCTCCAGGACACCTCAGGAACTGGCTCGCCTTCTGCTGTGCAGGAGATCATGGTGGCACTGCCCTCTACTGCTGTGATGTTGTTCAGCTGAGTGATGTGTGGCTGTACTAAATACCCAAGGACAGGAGAAAAAAATAAGATATATAAACACAGAGACAGGAAAAACATTATAGGCATAACTCCACAGTTACTGATAAATAAATTATTATTCTATTTTTATAATTGATGAAAAATTATGGTTAGGAGTCATTGCACCAACCAAAAGTAAAAATCTGCAGGGTTGATAAGAACAAAAAGGGAGGTAATGTGACTTTGGAAAGATTGTATCCCACTTTGGACAATTATGTAATTGGTATGTATCTCTCTTTCAAATGCCTCAAAAGTTTAAGCTGAGAACCTCACTACCCAAATGAAAAAGCCTTGCGAGATGCCTCATGCAGAATGTACACACCTTTTATAACATAAAAAAGCACATATCATGCCAAGGTCATCTGCGCCTTTTTGTCCTCTCAGCTCTATCCACTTGACTGCTCTAGTTATTTCAGTCCATATTTCAGAAGTCAAGTACTGAATTGAATTATAAATTGGTACATTTGTTGCTCACTGACTGCTACCTTTTCCACTTATCAATTAACTACAATTTTGTATTTGTTGATTGCAAATAATTTCAAACCATTATTTGATCTATGTTAAATGCCACTTCATCAGCTTCGTCCTGCAGCATGTAGCTACAAACATTTTTTCCTCCATCAG